ATGGCTGTGGGCGACATATAAAGCCGAGATGGCGCTTGGGGAACGGCAGGCACTGCTGGGCAGGAAAAGAGATCACAGGCATTTGTTAAAATGTTTAAAGTTTGTAAGTTTTGGCCTAGTAATCCTACTTTTGGAAACTTACTCTTCAGAAATACTGTACTATCAAAAATGAAAATGTTTACGAGAGTATTTACAACAACGTGTTTTTAGTGTCTAAAATGAGAACACCCCCAAATTACAGAAAATAGTCAGAATGTCCAGTAGGGGAAAGAGAATCAACTGCTACACTCCCAGACTAAGGGATTTTAGGCAGGTGTAAGGAAACACGAGGCAGGCATCTAGCTGAATCTCAGTGCTGAATGAAAAAAGCAGCCCACTGAGGAATGAGTGTGGTATGACAGATACTGGTAAAAAGTAAGGAACAGTCTGTGCACGTGAAATGCCTGTCTGCGTGCCACAGAAGACTACACTTCTCACACTGCGCACTGTGGGGATTTAGATGGACAGGAGGGAGACTTTTACTTTCATAACTAAAATCTCTAATTGACTCATTACAACAAATACATCTTACTTTTCGTAACCCTCCAAAACAGTCCTTTAAGTTATAAGATTAAAATAACACCTCTGCCAAATAAATCAAAACAAAAACCACATAAAAATGGAGGAAAGTCTGGGGATTTAGCTCAGTGGTTTTGCTGCCTGCTGCGCAAGAACAAGGACGTGAGTTCGACCCCCTGTACCAAAAAAAAAGGAAAAAGAAAAAATTTTTAGGGCCGGCATTTAGCTCAAGCACAAGGTTCGGAGTTCGATCCCCCCAAAAAAGAAAAATTTTTAGTCTTTTAGTTGCCTTTTCAAGACAATAATGGACATAACATTTTCCACAAAGTAATTAGAAAAATGACTTTTTGTTGTTATGTTTCTGCGGCAGGGTCTCACTATGTACTTCAGGCTGGCCCTGAACTCATGGTGGCCCCTACGTCAGTAGCCTGCCAAACGCTGTGGTTAGGGGTGTGTACCACACCAGGAAAACTCATCTCAGGGGCTGGGGACACAGCACAATCTCCAGCACCTAAAAAAAAACCCTCTTTGAAAAATTCTATTTAAAAATGAAATTATGCAGATATGTTTCCAATTTATCAAATTTAGAGATACGTAGTTCATAATAATTAGATTGTCACCTTGACTAATATAACTCTTTAGAAAAATCACCTTAGTTTAAATTTTTTTGCAGTGCTGAGGATCAGGCCCAGACCTTGCACATGCTCTACCACTCGGCCACACCCCACCCCCTATTTTATTATTTTTATGATTTGGGCTAAAGATCAGTGGTGGCAGCTGTTCTCTTTCTGTGGCCAAGATAACAAGAGGTAACGCTTACATTCAGCCTAATTATGCTTACGTTCAGCTGTTTTAAAAAAGTGATTGATTATTTTGTTAAAGGTTAAAACTTGCATATGGTCTGCAAATTAAATGGACTCAAAAGCTACTACATAGTGAAAACTAGCCCCACATCCTGCCCACCTAGTTCCTCTGTAGACGACTTGTTACCAGTTTTTAAACATCTTTCCAAACATACTGCATATGACTTTCAACACAAACATAGCTAAAATACCATGAATTCTACTCTGTGCCTTACATTTCCCACCTAATAATGAGCTAGAGGCTGGTCCATACTAGGAGGTGATAGCTTTGCCTTCTATTTTATTGCCAAGCAATACTATGGATGTATCATAATCTATTTAAGCAGCCTACTGAAGCTTATTTCTAATATTCTACAGAAGTCCTTAATCTAGAGCTGAAGATGGTCCTTGGAACATATGAAGTTGTACCTCAAATTGTCCATATATGAACAGGCAACTTTCAAAGGAGACGAAAGACTCACAGGCTACATCGGATTCGGAATCCAATGATCTAGAAAGGGATAAGAGCCTTGCTTCCATAATTTTTTCACAGACTGGTCGCTCCTGCTTTTTCAGACAGCACATGGTATCACAAGAATTTCCTATCCAAATCTCAGGGCAGTCAATGCATTTCCCCCTTTTATTTAATGTGTTTATTCTGTCTCTCTAGCCCCGCACAACAACACCAATTATTCTGCATCCACTGCCAAACAAGCAGGCCCCTTTACACCTAAATCCACATGGTTTTCATTACTGGGTTGAGAAAAACACTGATGATAAAGTAGTTTTCTGCCCATTACCTATCTCTAATAATATGCTTGTCATCATAATTAGTTTTACCATCCCTGGCTTGCTTTTCTGTCAATTCTGTCCCTTGAGTTCTGTTAGTAGCAGAAATTGGCTGCTAAACTATTATTCTGGTCTGTGCAATGGGGCTGACAGTAGACATATTCTGCTTTTTTTTGACAACCGGGTATGATTTGTAAAGGTGTGAAGTGGAATTGCTAATACTTCTCAGCTCCATTACATTAACCTGGAAGGCATTATACCGAAGAAATGAATCCAATATTAAATTGCCTGTTTTATGAGTTTTCCTTTAATAATTTTTCCACTCTTTACAATGTTTTCATAGCCTCAGTATTTTCTGATCTCTATTTCCTGAGGTTAATATGGCAACTTCATTTTACGAACACTATTTTATTAGATTCCCTTTATTTTTAGGGCAGAAGACAAAGAATAGGGAAGACATACTTGTGAGTTTCTTTTCTCCTCTGTTCCTCCCAGTTTTCAGCTGATGCCTGGGCAAGGTTTCACAAAGAGACCATAAGTCTATATAGTACTTATAATGGTAGAGCTACTGAAATACTGTAAAAGAGTCACAAAGCCCTAAATCAAACAGACTCCCTCCCTGTGCTGCGGAGTTCAGAAGTGATTCTCAGCAAGCAGGAAAGAAACAGGGCCATGTGCACTCTAGAACAACCCTTATGGAAGGCGGTAGGTCTGAGTGGGTTCAATTTAGGAGGCCACTGCAGGAATCTGAACTAAAGGCCTCAAGTGGGGCTGTACAAGGAGAGATGGAAATGAGAAGCAGATTCAAGAGCTATTGAGAGGTAAAACCAGCAGATGATGGTAACTAATTGGATGTGAAGGCAGAAGAATAACATAAATAATTATTACTTCATGACTGCTTATCACATTTCAGACAATCTGATAGGGCTTTCTTGCAAAATCATATGTAATCCTTACAGTATTCTCCATGGAAGTAGTAGTATCCTATCTTACAGATGATGAAACCAAGGCATTGCAAGGTTAAGTGAACTGTCCAAAATTACACGGCAACTGTGGTAGAGCCTGGGGCATTCCAGATCCAAATAGCTGTGTCACTGTGTAACTTGGTGAGAAGACTCCAGGATAGTCTCTAGGTTTCTCTAGAGAAGGCTGGGTGTATGACAGTGTCATTAAGTGAGGTGCAAAATATAAGAGGAGAAGCAGGCTTAGAAAGAAGTTGAAGTATGAAGTTCAGTGTAATTCCACAGTCAACAGTAATAGAGTCAGGTAGGGCAGGCAAATTACACATTTTGCTAAAAGACAGATCCAGTAATTAATTGTTGTACAATGAAGTAGAAATCAAGAAACAGAAAAAGCTGACTGTAAAGCATGGGACTGCATTCATTTTGAATGTACACTGTTGACCTTTCTTTGTGAAGATGACTGTAATTATCTCCTTAATGTACAGAACAAATTCTCAGCACTTACTAACCTAGGTTGCCATTCCCCTAGAATCTAGCAGGCTCTAAAAAATGGTAGTATTTCTTTGTTTTGAACTGTTTCCGCCCCTTAACAACTTGCTGCCGTTGGATTTATCCATCCATGACCTTCTCTGAGGCTTGTCACACAAAAGGTCTAAATAAGAAAATGATATTAACATAGGCTTGAAAATTTTAAAAAATGTTGCCTAAAGAGTCATGAAAATGTTGGGTAGCAAACATGATATTGTGGCAATTAAATTAGACTGAATCTTGGCTTAAAAATGTGAGTTTCAGGGCCGGGGATTTAGCTCAGTGGCACTGCGCCTGCCTCATAAGCACAAGTCTCTGAGTTAGATCCCCAGTACCAAAAAAAAAAAAAAACACCAAAAAACTGAGTTTCATGATATTAGGGAAGTATCCATTGGTATCTGTTAATTTCTTCATCTGCAAACTGAGGCCAATGATCTCTTACAGAGGGTCACTATATTAAATCAAATAATTTCTGAGGCATAAGCATTAAATATTGAGTAAAATGTTAGGAACACCAGAGAAGCTCAATGTATGCGAATGTTTTTCCTTCCATCCCTTTATAAAAAACACTATGAAGTTTATACATGCACAAATTCCACCCAAATAAGTAAACAGTAGTAACAGGAATCTTATCAATGACAAGTAGATCAAGTTAGTTTGACAAATCAAAGATAAACTTTACTACCATCTAAACAGTGTACAGAAAGAACACACACTCTCTGCCTCTTGGGAAATTTAACTGTCCTGATCTTAGTTGCAAATTTAACAGTATTTCATTTTATTTACAAATTTTACATTCCCGAGGGAAGATGTTCTGAGAAGATTGCAGAAAAGGATTCAGTAACACATGGTTGGTTTCATTCCTTGCACTGCTCTCCTGGCACTCCCAGCTAGGGATCCTCTGGGGCCACTGCACAACTTCCTCTCTATGAGATGCTCCCATCCCACTACATCCTCTCCGTGCCATGACTTCAACTCCCTGGGTCCCTTCAATGTGAGGCCTGAACTTCCACATGCCAGGGTAAGGGGTCCTGCCTCACAACCTAGTTCCTAGCTCGTTTGCTCACTTCTGGCCTACATCATGGTAATCAGTGTGTTGTGTCTCCCCTTTCCCTGTTTCCATCTCCCCACCCCATATTCTCCTTTCCTTCTGTCCCCATTCTGTGTGCCACGTTTCTAAATTTCTCTGGTCATCCCTGTTTCTAATGCATGTGCATACACACATACACATACCTCAACAGACTGAAAACTAAAGCAGCCAGTTTTGCCATTTGAGAACCCTCTGATGGGTTTAGGTTCTCTGCTTCTGAGTTTTACTCACCTAGAACCACTTCTGAACCAACAAATTCTTCAGCCAGGTTCCCAGATGAGGAGGGCAAAACATCATCATCAAAGCTGATGAGGTCAATGTCTGCCAGGGGCTTGCTTTGCAGAGCTGGAACTGGGGGAGAGGCTGGGGGCCCTTCTCCCAGTGACCTGAATGCTTTGGCTTGTGATGCTACCGAGAGTCGGGGAGGCACAGGGACTGGTTTAGGTGGAGCTGAAGGGCACGGAGGGTTTTCCGAGGAAGCTGATTTCTTCGGCAGCAAAGGCCGTGGAGCTGGAGTTGGGACTTTCCTCCCAACACCAGGACTCTCGACCACAGGCCCTCCTCCCGAAATCTCATGATTACCACTTCGTATAAGGCCAGGAGTTGGTTTCTTTGGCAATTCAGGTTTGGTTACAGGGGTGCTTCCTGCTTCTTTCAGTGAAGAGTATGGGGTGAACCCTTCCCTGGGGGTCACCTTGAGTCTGTTTTCAGTCGAGTCCCATTCCCCAGAAGCCCTGTTAGCAGCTGGTTTGGGAGCCACAGAAGGTTTCCCTGAGGAAACAGCAGGCTTTGGGGGAAGTGTACGGGGAGTAATTTCTGGTTTCTTGGTCAAGCCCGAGGTTTCTGCATTTGTCTGACCCTCAAATGCTTTGATCCTTGAAACAATATTATTTTGACTTTGTTCTGTGTTCATAATGTTCATCACTGTCTGACTATCTAAGTCGTTGTTATCCAGCAGAGACTGGGGCCGGCCCAGGGATGACTGCTCTTCTGGGATTGCTGGACTGATTTTCTGGTGACTTTTTTCTTTAATGTTAGTATCTCTAACTATTGGCCTGAGGTTGCTTTTTGATCTTGGTCTTGGCACAGGACATCTTGTAGCACTGGTGTTTTCTGGACAATTCTGCTCATCGGAAATATCAAAGACTATTAAAGGCGCTACATTTGCTGGAAGATCGCCACATGAGACTGTTGGAGGGCGCTGCAGAGGCTTGAGAGGTGCCTGCAGTGCTAACAAGATTAAAATAAAACAAAGTTGCGATGTTATCATTTATAACAACAACAACAAAAAATAGAGGCGATACACAGATTTTTTTTTTTTTTTTGGTACTGGGGATTGAACTTGGGACCTTGCGCTTGCGAGGCAGGTGCCGGAATCACTGAGCTAAATCCCCGGCCCGGCACAGATTTTTTTTTTTCTAGTACCAGGGATCGAACTCAGGACCTTGCACAGATTTTAAAAATATAATTGTAGGCTATCAAGAGATTTTGTTTCCTTCATTAGTAAAAAGTGATTGTAAAATCAATGAGGAAATGTTTATACTCAGCTTCCTACAGGAGGTCTTCAACCTGTGTTTGTTCATATAACAAATGTTCATTATGTAATATTTTAAAACACCATTAAATTCTTAATTCTCATTAGACTCAACACATAAGCCATTTCTGTGTAGTTGTCAAAATTCTAATATTTCTAATGCTTTACTTTTCCAAATCAATTTATTTGTCTCTAACAAAATACTCTTTAAAAGCCTAATCACTCTTAGTAGTCTATAAAGTCCAGGTTACTAAATATAAAATCCTTCTCAATGGGAATAAAGGGCATCCACAGTAATATGCAATATAAGTTAAACAGACGATGTTTTTGTGATCCGAACTAGGGTGAGCCCAAGAGATTAGGGCTGTAGTTCTTAAGAATAATCTAGTATAATAATCTTTTATATTAATCACTGCACATCCTAAAAAAGAAAGCACACAGTGATCACAATGACTGGAAAGCAGGGCTCACTGAATTATGCACAAATTGAAAATTATTTTAAAGGCTGGCTGCCTACTGATTATTGCCCTAGCAGTGGGTCAGAATTAGGGAAGACAAAGTTACTGGCATTACTTTGAGGCAGATGGTTGTCTATTTCTTCTAAAAAGTCCGTCTGAGTTGCAGAAGTAATAGTGTGCCTTGGAGTGGCAGCAGCATTATTATTATTTGTAGCATTAACTTGAACTTGGTTGATTTCTTTTATGACTTGTTCATAAGAGGGTGGGAGCTGCAAAATAAAAAATGAAAATTTTAGACACCCATGCACAATAGCCAAGGTGTTGATAGTCTCCTTGTCTTTTATCTTCTGAACTTCATTTTAAAAATAAAATGCAATTCACCTCAGCAGGAACCAGTTCATTTGGCCTCCAAGGGCCAGCTTCAGGAGTCGGGGGAAATCCCAGGCCTGGGGGTGGGCCTCGTGGAAACCACGCGGCTGGCCTCAGAGGCTCCGCTGCCACAATGGTGATCTCTGGCCGTCTGCGAGACAGAAACCCCAGTGAGGTTTTATAGGTCATTAATGAGCTATCTCATTGTTTTATCTGTGAATGTTCAGATCCATGAAACCATCACTACCTAAAACAGTGAAGAGCACTATCACAGTCACGGGAATGACTTCTCTGGCCTGGACTGTCTCTAGCAATGCACCAGACAGGCGTAAGGGAACAGAAGGCAGTCATCCTCAGTGACTCTGGCCTCAAAAAGAAAGAGATGTAGCCTGAGCACGCTTGGCTGTGCCTTGGCTGATGAGGGTAACCATACCATGTTTACTCCAGGGCCGTGCTGCTGTATAGCCTACAGCACAAACATATGGTGTAAGGTAAAATGGGTCAATGGAATTGTCTGGTTTTCTGTTATTATAAAGTATACACTTAAAAATGAAAATTATCATTTAAGAAGAAGATCCTCATCTTCCTCACTTCATCTCAGTCCCAGTTTAAATTTACCTTGAAATGGTTTGAATTTATGTTTACTTCTAGGCCTGCATACATGTCTGTTTCTGGTCAGTTTTGTATACGATTTGACGATTAATCTGTAATGCTGAGGAGTCATAGTGATTTAGGCACAGCTTCTTTTCTTAATCTCATTCTGTATTTTTATGTTTAAATTTTATTTCAATTTGATTTCCTAACAAACACCAACTATGTGACTGGGCAAATCTCAATTTCTCTGAGCCTCTGTTTTCTCATCTAATAAATATCGATGATGACACTTGCTCTGCCTTTCTCTAGCACTCTATGGAGAGTAAAGATTAAAAAAGCACTGTTAATAGCAAAATTGTGCACATACACACATCTTCCTGCTAGCTTGTCAAGTAGTAGAACCTCATCATTAAGCTTGAACTGTATTCTCTAAGAAGCTCTGCTTATACCTTTTGTCTAACTAACAAGAGTTACTAATTAGTAAATTTTAAGTACTATGGGTGCATTAACCCATATTCAACTTTGTGATATAGGTGCAGTTAGCACCAGTTTAAAGATGGGAATACAGAAGCTAAGGAGGTTAAGCAGCTTGCCCAAGGTCACATGGTGGGAAAGCAAAGTCAGGATTTGAACTTGGTTCTTAATGACTCTGAAGTTCTTATTTTTCATCATCCTATACACTACACGTAACAAATTTGAAAGCAGGAATCTTGACTTACAAAACTCTATTCATCTGTTGTTTACCTATCTTTCCATCTTTCTATGTGTTCATCTTCTATCTGTCTAGCTAGCCTTTCTTCCTATTTTCCTTCTCTTTCCAAACAACCATCTGCTTGTTTATCTAGGTTGCCCACCTCTTTTCCTTTACCTTTCTAATTAACTTTTTATCTTGTCATCCATCCATTTATTTAGGCAACATTTACCAAGCACCTACGAGGTACAAAGCATTTCTCTGAGGCAGTTACAATGCTTTACGTGTATCAGTTGCTTTATAAACATTTAAAAAAATTAAGTTAAGTAAATAATGATTAAAAGAATATTCTCAAAAGAATAAAGAATATTCTCAGGCCTCTATCATTTCTTCTCTCAAGCAAAATCTTCATCATTCAAGCTACCAGATGAATTCAGGACATGTAATAAGGTATAACACAGGAAAATATTGCTTATGAAAGAGATATTTAACTTGTTAACTGATGACACACTTTTATTTCAATTATTAGCAGAATATAAACATGGGTAAAATATAACCATACCTCCTATCCCGATGAAGTTCACTTTGAATAGAAGTCCGAGATGCTACAGAATAAAGAATAAGCTGGTATAGTGTAAAATTAGTATATTCGGTCAGGGTTTAAATTTTTATACAGTACACAATTGGAAAAAGTTAGCTTATAATGGGCGTCATATAGAATGTATGACTTTTAACATCTCTAAGTAGAAAAGTAAATCAAAACGATCTTTTTATATTGGATAAAGTAAATTATAAATCTGAATTTCATAGAAATGTAGATTTCAAAACCTCCTCAAAGCACATTCTATGGTTCTGAAAATGACTTGAACAATGAACAGTGAAAAGAAGGTAGCTATTAAATATAAATGCTTGAAGCATTAAAATGACATGAAATGACAATGGGAATAAAATTCTTAAAATATCTATTTTAACTTACATGACTAGACTTGCATTTGTTTATAATTCTATAAAAGAAGTGGTTAAATTTTCATCTAGTTTGTAACTTTCTGCAATTTTACTACTTCTAAGTAGTTTTATTAGGAGATAATAAATGTAAACTGCTTTTTTTTTTTTTTTTTTTGGTACTGGGGATCGCCTGTGCTTGTGAGGCAGGCGGTGGAACCAGTGAGCTAAATCCCCAGCCCTGGAGATAGTAAATGGAAAAGGTGTCCAAATTACTTTTATAAACACATAGATTGCACCGACTTTTCCCTCAAGTTTCAAACTCAAGAAGCTTAATGGCTTAAATTTATGTTGTAAATTTTATGTTATAAAGCAAATAAAGTCTTAATCAGACAATCTGGAAAATATGTCACATGTGAGATGAGTTTTTATGCAATAGAGAATATTATTTCTCTTTCCAAGGAGCTCATTCTGAAGACACCTTGGGGGAGGACAAGTGCTATACTATAAAGACTTGTACACGATATGGATTTGTTTCAGACAGAAACTATTTCAAGCAGTAGCTTTCATTATCGCTCTCTAACTTTTTCAATGGGTCTGATTTGAAAAGATTGGAAGTATGGATCTTTTCTTTCTTCTATTAATTTGTTTCTCCCTTAACCTGAGGGAGGGAGGGGCAGAAGCGGGGTATGAATGAAACTTCGATTGGGATTAGAGCTGCATCAGCTTCACCTGTGCTGGGCAGGTATTGCAAATCCCTAACATCTGCAACCCACCCCCTGGATCTCAGTAGGGAAGAGGCCCTTACCTGAGCATCATCAGCTGGCTTGACTGTTACACTGCTACCAAGAGCCAAACCAAGCTGAGGTACATTTTGTCTACTGGAATAAAAGCAGGCAGAGAGGCTAGAGCTCTGCATGGTGCCTGATTGGTGAGAATGGTTTCATTGTGTCACAGGCTGTCCCCAAAGTGCTACAATCACACTGCCACCATTGCTAAAGCTGGAATCAACACACATAGCCAAGACTTCATGTTATTGTCCCAAACATACCTCTTCCACGGGGCATTTTGCTGTGCACTATTCATGAGTGCTAAGGGAAAAAAAGAAGGGGTTATAGAAGAGAAAAGGGAGAGAAAAGAGTGAACCTATGCTCTAAAAGAAATTTAGGAGCAAGACTTGCCACACCAGTTTCCCCCTACTCTGCACACTCAGATGGAAAAGAAAAGCCGATGAACCACAGGTTCAGAGGGTAAAGAAATATGTTGCTGCAAAGATTTGTCTGGAAGACCAGATCATCCACACACACATAACCACAGTTTAAAAAATCTGCTTGTAGTTTTCAGTGGTGCAAATGAATCTAAAAACTATTTTGTAAAATCAATTTGTTACTTCAACGGGGAAGTGATTTTAAAGTATGAGTAATGCTTAAAAGAGGTAATTTAGTAGTCTATTTACATTCTTTTAAATCAGTGGCTTTTAATTTGATTCTGCCCTTTCACAGAGGGCTGAAGGCAACAGCCCCTGCTCCAGCCCTGGCAGCCGAGTGGCAGCCCCTCTCGATGCCACAGGGTGAGGACAGCAGCCTCATGGTCGCATTGCAGATCACCTTCTCCACCTCAATCACCGCTCTGCCCTCTCCTTTAATTGCTCCCTCCCTCTATATTTATTCATCTTCAGTATAATTTCTTTTTCCTCTCTTGATTTTTATAAAATTGTCACTTTTTGTCAGTGTTGAGCAAATCTAACAGCTTGAAACCCTTTAGGTTTTCATGTAGACTTTCATGTGATATCTCGTGTTCTTGCTGCTGATTTCTCAACCATGTACTTATATATGCCATCCTCATTTTCCAAATTAGACAGATTTGATACACTTATTGCCCAGACAATCAAGTTTGCCACCAACAACTAAAAAGACCAACATGTCTCATTTTTTTTTTTTTTGGTACCAGGGATTGAACTCAGGTCCTTGTGCTTGCGCAGCAGGCGGCGAAACCACTGAGCTAAATCCCCAGCCCCAACATGTCTCATTTAACCTCAAGCTGCTAGTCCCCTGTGTATTTTGGGTTAATGTTGGAGAATAAAGGCAGAGTTTTCAGTTAAAGTTATCCTATCATTCTACAGAGTTACTTTGAAGCTTTCCTAGTTTAAATGGTTAAGTTCTAAGTATAAAACATGTCAGACTAGAGTGGAGATGTAGACTTGTAATAGCACAACCAGTAAGGAATCCTGCCAAGTTTCAGTAGGCTCCTAAACCTGGAAAAACCCCAGGAATCATCCTACTCAAAAACAGAGGAGACTGAGTTATAAGAGGTGAAGTAAATTATCCCAAGGCCACTCTGCCCATAGGGGCAAGGCTTGGAGCAGTTTATTAGTTTATTTCTTGAAATAGCTTAGCTCCTATGGAGCTGTTCTAAATAATTCAAAATTACAGATGAAATGATTAGGAGAAATAACACAGAGGATTATAATAAATGTACTTGCTATAGAATCACTTTATCAGTGAATGACACACAAAACAACAACAATAATAACAAAACTGACTGCATTCATTTGGACGGGACAAGAACCAGATGCACTTGACATGATAACAAGAACATCTCCGGATGGAAAGTTCAATGGCTTTCAAGTCCAGAAGTTTAGATTCACATCCCAGATCTAACTTGTGAAGCAATTTTATCTCTCTGGACTCACTTTTTCTTCATCTGTAAGAAGGGGTTAACATCTACCATGCTGTTACCGCTTATATCAAGATGTCCCATCGAAAGCCTCATGCACTCATAGGTGGGGCTTTTGGGAGTAACTGGATCATTAGTCTACTGATTGGTTTAGCACAGTTCTGGGTGTGGATGGCATCAAACAATAGGCTTATAGCCTGGATGGAATAAAAAGGGAAAGAAGAAGGAAGTTTCAGCTGCTTCCTGCTTGCCATGCCATGGACTGTTTCTCTTGTGCCATGCCACCCTGCCTTGGAGCCAGCCAACTATGGATGGAAACATCTATAAAGTGTGAGCTGAAATAAACCATTTCCTCCTTTAACTTGTGGATGTTGGTTATTTTTCCCAGCAAGGAGAAAGTAACAAAGACACATGAGGAGTGTTATTTATACTTCCTGTCTTATAGCAGGTAATCAATATTAGATAAATCTAAATTTCAGGGAATGCTTTTCTCTTAAAAAGTTAACAAAGGGAAGAATATGAAATTCCAAATATATCCAATGAGGACACATAAAAAAACTAGAAAAAATATTTAAGGCTCACAAGAACAAATGCAAAATTGACTCTACACATTGCCTGGAAGTAGAATCATTAAGAAAGAATTTGAACTATAGCATTGCCTTAAAAATGTGATAAAATCTCTCTTCTTGCCAGTCTTAGATGACTGAGTCTGGAATAGATTTTTTTTCAATTACAACTTTTTCTTTCTCTTTTTTCGTTTTTTTTTTTTTTTTTGCAGGGCTGGGAATTGAAACTAGGGCTTTGCACATACTGGGTCAGAGCTTTATCCCTGTGCCACATACCCCAGTCCACAACTATTTTTTAAAGAATAGGCAAAAAGTAAAAAGAAAAGAGGTTGGCACAAATATTCCTCATTCTATGTTTATATAGCATTATGAATGATCTATTTGGGCTTCCTGCCTAACATTAGGAATAAATATAAATAAATATATCTTTAGTGTCTACAAAATGACTGACATATAAGAATTAAAAGATAAATGGGTTAGTTAGAAAGGAAAACCGCCAGATACATCAAAGCAACAGTTTTTTCTCTTTGTTTTACCATTTCCTTTTTCCCTCTGCTAGGGCTGCTTTACCAATTTCTTCTCTCAAGTCTCAGGCTGCTCTCTACTGACTGCTTTCCCAATGCCTCAAAAGTCTTCAAGCTCCTCCTCCTTCACAGTCTATTAACAGGTTTAAATCTCCTCTTCACCTGACCTTCCTGCCTTCTCAAACTATAAGCCCTCCTCCTCCTGTTACTCTCAATTTCATAAAAGTAGCCCACCACCACTGTCCCATCTCCAGCATTCCCCTTACTATTCCAAGTGAGGCCTGGCTTCCACTTCAGTCTTCTATTGACACTGCTTCCTCACAGTTCTCCACTGACCGCTAAGTGTCACACTCAAGGACCTGTTTGCAGCCGCCTTTTGCTTTCCTTGTTGTATTCCTTTCAAAATCTTTTGTTCCTTTCGACTTCTAGCAGTGCCTCTTGGTTTTTATGTTACCCTCACCTTCCTTTTTTAGTTTTTACTTCTCCTTAGCTGTCTTTTCCTTAAGCCTTGTATAATGCAGAGGCCTCAAGGTTAAGCAGGATTCATCCTAGAGGATCTATGGAGGGTCACATACAGATTGCCACTCTTAACCAAGTCCTGAAATCCTAACTCCATTAAGGTAAGAAGCCAGGAGCTTCCAGGCAGGACTCCATGAAAGGAGGCCCTCCTCCACAGCAGGACTGGGTTACTGGGTTGTGTATCTTTTGCATTATGGTTACTAAAGAGAATAGACTGACCTCAGATATTATAAGATTATGTCTCTGGTCATCATCTCTATCCTGTACACTTTCTCCCTTAATGTTCAGCTACTTCCAGAAATTTGCCTATAACCTGGACTGCTTCAAATTATATCTCTTGCTTAAATTCCAGACCTTAATTTCCTATTTAATACATTCCCACTGGCTTGAATCACTGGTGGTACATGCATGACTGTCTCATCAGGTAGTTTGTACCATCCCATGCAACTGTCCCATGCTACTCGGTGTATACTAACCACCACTGTTTCTGAGCCACCTGGCAGCAAGACATGAATTACAGCTCATTGTAAACGCCTTATTCTCCCTGATCCTCCTTTCCACCCCACCCTAAGCATATCAAGACATGTAATGCTAACATGGATTTTTCATGTTAACATTTGAATTCCCTTTATCATACACTGTAGCAACCTCATATCTTTATAATTTACCAACACAGAAATGGAGTGAAGAAACATGGCATGTTTTTCTGTATTGCTACCTTAAAATTTTTGCTGGAATGGCTCAAATGCTTGTTTTTCATGACCTATAAATATCTTAAATTAATACTGAATATTAAAAATTATGTTTCTAAAAATAGGTTACATTCTCAGTGTGGTTACCTCAGCTTAAATAATGAGATCATCTAAAATCTCATCTCTTTTTTTTTTCTATAACAGGTAATTTTTATTCTATTTGGAAAAGGGCTCTTTCCAGAGCCTTTTATTTGAGAAGAGTAACATAAAAGTACACCTGAATCCTGTACCGAGAGCAAATGTTAAAGCTTTAATCAGGAAGTAAAGACAAAAAGTATAAATGTGTCATTTTTGGAAGGAATTCTCACAGCATTTCTCTTATATGTGGACATATGAGCCTGTCTTCATAGGCATTCACACAGCTTAAAAAAATATTGTGAAGAGGGTTGGGGATTTAGCTCAGTGGTTTTGCCGCCTGCTGCGCAAGCGCAAGGACACGAGTTCGATCTCCGGTACCAAAAAAATATATATATTGTGAAGAAAATTAAGGAAAGAAAATGAACCAAAAAAGGACAGGGTTTAATATTTTTAAACCCATCAGATGTGTCTAACTTTAGAAGATGGTTACATAAAATTGTACCATATCATAGATACTAACTACAGGGCCAATTTTGTGTTTAAACGGCTTCAATCTGTAAGAGAAAGGTATTGTTCTGAGGAGTTTGCTTCTCAATAAATAAAAGCTAAAAAAAACTAGCTGTTTGAAATACTTTATCACTTCTTACAAGAAGCTACTCTTGTTGGATTCTTTGTAAATTCATCAAATACAATCACTTGCTGGGAGTCTAAATCATCATTTAAAAGTACTACAAACAAAAATACAGAGCAGGAAAAAACAAACTTACATCTCTTGATTACAGCTCTAATAGATGACAAGGGTCCTTGGCTAGAAAAAGAAAGAAAACACATTATACATTCATCAATCCTTTTGAAGAAGAGTTATTCATAATGCTGGGTCATTTCTGAGACTCAATATGGTGTTAAGCAGCAAGCTGAATACATTATAGGCCTATCCTCTTTATAAAATAAGAAAAAAATTTAAATTGCCTTTTTTATTTAAGATGTTTTATGGAAAGTGAGGAGGATGTTGAAGTATATCTAAAGTGTAAATAAAATCTGGCTTAAAATCACTTTCATAGAAGCCTATGTATTGTGTCTTCCAGTGAAAATCTGGATACACCTTGTAGTCAGATAGTATTACACAGTACACAAAAGAGCTTACTCATAGCTCTTTTCTGTTTGACACTGAAACTCCTGTCTTCTCATATCACATTTAAATACATCATCTATATAGTCAATGTGACTTTAAGCACCAATAGTATTCTTTAAAATTAGAATTTTAAACACCACCACTCAATAAAACAATCTTCTGCTTACTTTGAGTTCTGCTCAAGAGCTGGTTGATTCTGGCTTTGCCTCAGTGTGATCTTGGAAGAATCAGGAACCACATTCTGGGACTGTTTACCTTTTAGTCCAGGCCCTCTAGCTACAACGGCTTATTGGTACTAGTTTATGAAGGGGACTTTTGTCCTTATTCAAACAAGCCAGGTAAGTGTTTTTGGAATCACTTAGAAAAAAATATAATCCTGAAAATTTAATGATATGATTTAGGGGAAAAAAAAAGAAAAAAGAACTTCTTGATTACAAAGTTCTTCTCTTTTCAGAATGTTCTTTAAAAATTTATATTTATTTTAAAATTTATACTGTTTAAAAATTTATGCTTGTGGTAATGCTTTTTACAGATGAATTACGACTTTAGGAAGATACAATAACATATCAGTTCATCTTAAGAAGGGATTCTTGGGCCAGGGATTTAGCTCAGCGGTTCCACTGTCTGCTTCGAAAGCACAAGGTCCCGAGTTCAATCCCCAGTACCAAAAAAAAAAAAAAAAAAGAATATACTTGGTATGGTTTGCATAAAATAACATAACAGTTCATGTTAAGAGTAAGTTCACTTTAAGAATCTTCTTGCTACGGTTTGAATGTGTTCCCCAAAAGCATGAGTTGGAAACTTCAACCCTAATGAAACAGTACTGGGAGATGTGGCCTAATGAGACTCCTAACTAGGCCAGGAGGGCTCTGCCCTCCAAATGGATCGCTACTGCTGCTCTTGTGGGAGGGAGTTCATTATAAAAGAGGGGAGGCTTTCTTTCTCTTGCCCTGTCTGCCACTGCCAACATGAAAGCCCTTGGCAGGTGCCAGCCCCTTGATCTTGGCCTTCCCAACCTCCAGAACTGTAAGTCAATAAATTCCTGTTCATTATAAATTGGTCTATGGTATTCTTTACAAGCAGCACAAAATGGACTATGGTAATACAATTCTGTCAGACCAGGAAAAAAGCTCCAGGAGGCCTCAGATAGCACGAAGCAAGGACTGTAATGTAAATAGAAAATTCTTCATCAATACTGATTTTTAAAAGTTTGTGAAAGTCTTTCTATAGAACAACTACTTGAAAAAAAAGAATTAACTACATAAGGTAATATGGAAGAAGTAATAGGTAAAAAAAAGGAAGTAGGTTTGCTGAGGCCTACAGGAGAAACTTCTCGGGGCAGAAATAGTGAGAATCTGTAAGTCAACATTGTGCCCATTGATTCAGATGCAGTTATTAAAAAGAATCACCATCAGCACTCAGAAGCAGGGTGTGAAAAGCCAACTTTTTGTGTGTGTACCTAAGCAGCACAGAATAGCTGTTATTGAGTACATCATACTTTCCTTGTTCAGATATTACAAGGATATATGCGTACCCATGTTTACAGCAGCACAATTTATAATAGCTAGATCTCGGAAACAGCATATATGTCTATCATCAGAAGAATGGATGAGGAAAATGTGGTATTTACATACAATGGAGAACAACTATGCCATAAAGATACATAAACTGGACACATTTATAGGTAAATAGATGCAACTTGAGAACATGTTAAGTGAAGTCAGGCTGAGATTAAATATCAAATGGTTTTCCTTATGTGAGAAACTAAAAAAATATATATATATATTTTTATAAAAATAGCCAAAATATAAGACTAATAAAAGCAGGGAGAAGTTTAAATAATTCTCCAAATTATCTATTCTGTTGTTTCAAAAATATTTTTATACATATGCTAATTTGTTTCATTTATACTACTAGTTTCTTTTAGTTCACTGAAAAGAATGCTTTGTACTATTATTACCTGTTTGTTTCTTCTTTGTAAGAGAGAACCTTTTCTATGTTCTATACTCCAAGTAACTACTTTGAAGATAATGATACACAGTGTACTAACTAGTTACTGTCATTATTTTGTTACGAAATTTTGTTTCTTCATGAAATAAAAAATTATAAATAAACAATTTCCTTGCTTAGGTACACTAACTTGGAAGAATGATATTAACTAAAATACTAGTTGCTACTTTTGTGGCAGAAGGTAGGGTACTGGTTGGGGGGGAACCTGGGAAGTGTTATGTCCTCCTCCAAAAAGGTATGGTGACGTCTTCACCCTTACTAGCTCTGAATATGACTTTTTGGAAGTAGGATAATTACAAATATAATTAGTTACGATAAGGTCATAGTAGGGTAGGATGGGCCCAACTCAACATGACTGCTTCTTTAGAACAGTGGTCTCCAAGGTCTAGTTTCATGGAAGACAATTTTTCCATGGACTGGGGTGGACAGGGGGCTAGTTTCTTTTTTTATTAGTATATATTTGTAATACATAATAATTACATTCCCTGGCATCATGGGCTCAGCTCTACCTCAGATCATCAGGTGTTAGATTCTCATATGGAAATACAATCTAGATCCCTCACGTGAGCAGTTCACAGTAGGGTTTACGCTATGAGAATCTAATGCCACTTGTCTTAGTCACTTTCTCATTTCTGAGACACAATAGAAGACACTCACAACTTGCAGGAGGTTGATTTTGGCTCACATTTCAATTCATGGTCAGTTGGTGCCAAGGTGAGACAGCATGGCAGAGGGGCATGGTGGAGGAGAAGCTGCTCACATCATGGTTGTCAGGAAGCATAGAAGGAGAGCCAGGGAGTGCCGAGCCTCTTCCCAACGGGCCCTGCCTGTTAACAGCCAGCCCATGATAAAGTCCCCCTAATCCAATCACCTTTCAAAAGCCCTGCCTCTGAGTGCCTGGGGCTGATCTGACAAGGTGGAACTCAGGAGTAATTCCAGCAATGGGGAATGGCTGTAAATACAGATGGTGCTCCACTCGCTCAGCTCCTAACAGGCCACTGACGGTACTGGTCCATGGCCCAGAGTTTTGGGACCCCTGCTTTAGAAAGACAAGAGGTCCACATGATGACACACACAGGGAGAGCTCCATGTCATGACAAAGGTATAATGATGTCTCTGTAGGAATGATTTCTCCACAGGTTTTAGAGGGAACATGGCCTCACTGACAACTTGATTCTGGACTTCCAGCTTCCAGAACTGTGGGGCAATAAATTTCTGTTGTTTGAAGCTACTTGGTTTGGGGTACTTTAGTTACTGCAATCCTTAAAAACAAAGGCAGACTAAGCATCTCTAATCTGAAAATCCAAAATCCAAAACTGAGTACTGACCTGACACTCCAAAGGGTTCAGATATTGGAGCATCTTAAGATTTTGGATAGAACATCCCACAGGTAAAGTCCATGCAGATATTCCAAAATCCGAAAAGCTCTAAAACTTGAAACACTTCTGGTGCCAAGTATTTATTTCCTATAAGGCATATTCAACCTTCACAAGTGACCTGGATCAACCTGATAAAAGCCATCTATGAAAAACTAAGAGCCAATAACATACTAAATGGTCAAAAACTGAAATCCTTCACACTAAAATCAGAAACAAGACAAGGATGTCCACTATCACCACTCCTGTT